TATATTATAGTAAGAAGTTACTGAGTCATTTTAGTTAGAGAATAGAAAAACAAAACTATATTGTAGTGCTGACGGACACACCTACCGCGGCACTTTACTGCAGTTTACATTAAGCTCTAAATTAAATTAATCTTGACAAAGATTTCTATAAACGATCCAGCAATTATCTCTGGGGAGATATCCTATCACCAATTTTTTTGTAATTATGCCTGGTGCGGGTCGCCATCCCTACGTAGATGATTCAATATGAATAAAAACAGACGCATACATTTTTCGCTGTATCGATAGCACGCGCTGTTTTTATCAGACTAAATGACTCTGGACATGATATCATTAAATGTCACGTATACAAGAAAAAGCTCACAATTTTCGCAGAGAAGTTCAGAGAGATTTGATATTCTGAAATTGCACTTTCGACTTTTTAGGATAGCTTATAATAACTTCGGACTATTTGCATCTTACGTACTTGTTATTTATGTGTACTGAGAAGACGGAGATGCCATATTTGATATGAATTAAACAAAGGCTATTATTTAAAAAACTTTACCAAACATGTCACAGGTCCTTCATAGCCAAAGGAACCAAAAAATTCAGTTTTCTCAATAAATGATGCATTGAGGCATAATATAGGCCAATGATATGTATCTATAAATTTTACAATGTTGATTTATGTATATGCAATCCATGTTAATATCATCTTTGTGTAGTTCGGTTTTCATGATTCAAATCTGTTAATTACAGTAGTTGCTAGCAGACACAATAAACTTGAGCGACTTTGACTTATGGTTTGATTGTCGAGAACTAATCAATGAATTCCGATTTTTGATTTACAATCAAAATCGAGAAAACTGTCGTGGTTGCTGTAGCTGTTTTGTATTAAAACGAAGTTATTCTTTACATAATATAAAATATTTAATTTTACTTTACTGCATACGTGCTGCAGTTGCCATACTGATTCATAATATAAAAACACGTACACATACGAGTTGTAGTGCTGGTTAAATCATGCTGATCTAAGTATGCGAATGAATATCGATAAAATATAAAAGCTCGTACGTATACGTGTTTTTATATTATGAATAAGGAAGCACGTATGAACTAAAAATTATAACATTTTATATTACGTAAAAAACAACGTAAATAGTTAAAACTGCTATAGGAACTATGCAGAGCTTTTTTCTAGCTTTGTCACGAATATACAGTATTGGGCAGCTTGCAATAGATTCCATTTGCTAGTTAAATTTACGGATCTGTGCGATGTTGATAACCTCTATTTTCTATTTTCCACTGATAGATACAACACATCTAACTATATATCACTAACGTAAAAAATACAACACTGGATCAAAATTCGCCTCTTACATAAGTGCTAACATGGATCTCACAAAGGCCTGATATAGCATTTCGTCATGTGAGAATCTGCATCATCTCTTACTGAATCTTTACGCTTCACAGTCGATAAGTTCTCTAAACGAAATTAAAGGGCATCTCAGTTTATGCTTTGTGTAATCGTTATGTTTTTAATAAATAATGCTTCACGTTTGACCTCACTAATAGAACAAACAGCAGGTCACCGGCATAAAATACAACATATTTAAATTGTCAGTTTGCTTTATCAGCAACTACCAATTGTGAAAAGAGCAATTATTTGGTCAAAAGAAAAATGATGTAGCTAAATGGCTGGATTTCCAGCTGGTTTCTCATACCATAGTGAGTTTTGTAACTGGCTGTCTAGTATATTGAGCCCCTTGCAGAGCTATAAATTAAGACCAAAGAAACTATTTATGGGAACATGTTATTGATCTAAATTTTGCCATTTTTTTATTGCATCATGTATCACATCGCTTGCCGATGGAATCGGTTTATCTCAATAGCCTAGCTATACTGACAGCACTATCTTTGCCTTTAATCTCGAGTTTCACTGAGTAGGTAATTACATGCATAACAATACAACAGTGAATATGATATCCGGTAAGATAGAACTCTATTCAACGTGTGGAAAGAAAGTACAGAAAGTCCACCTAAACCTAAAGAAAGACTTCTCCCTCCAAGTCGCGTCCACTTTTTTATATATCATATTTTTGGACATTCTTCGCTTGCATGCCACCCTAGCACAACTATTAGAACCACTGATAAGTTATGTATAAAAAAAAGCACTTTGTATTAAGGGAGTGCAAATTTTCACTTTTATGTATTGTTTAGTATTTTATGCCATAACAACTTTTTGTATAATAAACAATAACATCATGCAACTTGCTGTTCCGAAGTTCTAATTAGAATATAACCCAATAGAATTCTATCACGAATGTTCCATTTGCCACAAATAGCATTGATTGTCATTTGATTCGCTTAGCACACTGACATAGGTAAGAATACTAGGTGCTAAACATAAGACTATGAAACATACGGAACCACTTGACGCGCGTTGCTTGCAGTTTGGTGTATTTTTTTTCGAACTCGAGTCTTCCGAAAGTTCAGAAGTTGCTGCCGCTGGAGGTCAAACCGTAACAAACATTATACAACATTTAACGAACACAATTAACGGACACTAAACAGCTATCGCATAGTCACATTATAAATGAATGGGGATTTAGAGCACAAGGTCCAACTGCCATTGAACACACAAGAAATAAAAGGATTCACCGATAATTTGGCAACAAACTGTAGTAATATATTGGAATTACATGTTGGTTAGAAATAACGTAGCGGACCAAATTGCACTTTTACAATTATTCACATTGTTACTACGCTGACTATCAACAGTTTAGTATAATTACTTTACTTATTTTAACTTCTTAAATATTTATTTTACCCACTTTTTACCCATATTTATCTCGTATTTTTATTATTGTACTGTTAGTGTATTATATAAATGTACTTCAGTCTTTGCAGATAAGCATCCACTATAAAAGCAGAATACATTATCAGCAAAACGTTATCGGCTACAAATTTATTTTAACTTAATCGAAAGCGGACCGCAAGACACGTATAATATGTGATATATATTATTATATATAATATTATATATATATATATAAATATATATAATATATAATTATATTATATATATAATAATAATAGGTACCACAGATAGTGCAAAGGATTTAACACTCGCACAGATACATTTGCAAACAAAATAGACATCTTACGAGAAGACATACTACATATGGTAATGTGCTAGTGATAAAGGAAGAGTAGTACAAATCTCGTGGAAACTAATCAAAAACCAAAGCAAAATCAGGTCGGAGTTTATAAATCACATTGTATTAACTATTTGCGAAGACTGAACAATTGCGCGTATTATATGTACAAATAGTTGCTCGCGTGAAGAGGTTGACAAAGGGGTACTTGTAGGATGAACAGCTAACGAACTAAACAGTAGAGCGAATACAGCGAATGCACACCGGCAACAATTCTTGTGTTGGACTTTTCGGTTGATTCCGTGTCTTCCGCTAAGGATCCTTTGGCGGCAAATAGTTAAAGCATGGACTAGTATAATGCGGTCAACACATTGTACTGTTAATCGTTAATCGCTTTTCAAGGTTGTATTATAATCATTTGCTGCTCGCTGTCGCAAAAACCAAAGAATATGTCTATTATAGGAGGATTAGCATTCTTAAAAAGATACATTCACTTGGTTGACCCATAACTGACGCTTGACGCGTTAATAGCTAGTACATTATGGTTACTGTACTTTACTAAGGAAATTACTAACGCTCTAAGGTACTTTTTACGGGAAAAGTTTGATTTCGTATCAATCTAGAAAAAATGGCTGCTTGGCACTTTGGTTAGCAAGATTCTATGGTAAAAATAACTCTGTAGCTTCTTGAAAAGTGTTAGTTCGTTCACATTGTACTATAATGAAAAATTTTATTTGCGAGGTTTTCTATGGCCACTGCCAAACCGGTTTTCCAGTGATGCCATGATTGTTGTTCCGACCTTGCCGTTTACTAAAGCTATCGTCTATGCTCATGTGCATGGTACAAGATATATACGTTGCGTATACAAAGACAAAAAAAATCAAAACACTTAAGAATATCAAATAATAACGAGGATGACTTTCATTGTTAGTGTCGCATGAGTACATAGAGCAAAAGCAGTAGTTTACATGTTCTAACAGGAGTATAAGAGGCGACACTAGGGAACAAGGAATAGATGGATCTACTAATCAAAAAGCTATTAATGAAAGCGATTCATTAACTGAACCGTTTTTGGGTTCTACTAAAAAACTTTACTTTTTTTTGTAAGTAAACTTTTTTTTTGAATGGCTTGTTTTCCATACCGCGCTATATGGATTTGAACAGTAGTATTTTAATTCATCAGGTGCGTTTCAACCCTTTCAAAATGATCCGGATCACGAAAATTTCATAAGGTCATATACTGTTGTTTTTTTACCTTAACTAATTTACACTGTTCTTGACTTTTCTAGGGCCTCTATATTGTGTTTCGCCACTGTTTTAAAGCGCTGAGTCGCAATCTGCTTTTCACTGGTGTCGGAAGCCTACTACTTATCTTATAGTTGTTTTGAGATCTAATTTTTTGTGCTTAGTATATATTCATGCACGTATAGGCAACTCGTGGCAGTGATGTGACAGTATATTTTTCCAAGTAGCCACTAAGGTGGTTAGGTAGGTACAATTTTGACGTGACAAATCACGTGGTTCATGCTCATTCGCTACTGATTGTTATCCAGACTTTAGTTAATGGTTCATTATCAGAGCGGAGAAGTCGGTTTTGAAAAAATTATGTATTTTTTCTTCTCGTTGCCCCGGGTGCGCATTTCCCATCTAGTGGATACTAAAATTATTGCCAGACACGCATTTATTTGTCGCATTATTTCATCGCATAAGAAAGTGCTATAAACGCATTCAGCTAAATTGTTTGTAATGCAGTAAACACAAAACAACGCAGAGAAGAAGCGTGTCAAGTTTTCAAGAAAACGGTTAAATAACATATACGGGTATTTAAAGTGAAAGATACCTGCTCATCGGTATTAACTCAAAACGGCTAAATCGTATTCGAAAATTGTCAGAACTATCCGTGTCAAATTCTATAAATAGAATTTCCAAGTCATCAACCAGCTAACTGGTTGGCCTAAATGATATAGCGAATCTCGGAGTATTGCACTTGTGCACAGATGTATTCGATACACAATATAGTTTTCAGTATTGAATCAGTACTGAATCAATGATACAAAAGTACAAACTTACCTGAGTACTTGCTTGCCTGATTGTTGCGTCCCATAGATTAACTAAGCGCGCAGAATGGTACACAGGCCAATGCTATGAGACCCATTATCTGAAATGCTGCTCGAACTCCATACATATCAATAAAGCGACCACAGACGAAGTTCCCTATCGAGACGCCTAACCATACCAATGCAAGACCCAATAATTCACAAATTAAAATAGACTTCACAAAACCTAACAACTTCGGAAATGACAAACTTCTTTAGCAAAGGCGACATCATTTCATTAATTTTTAATAACAAATACCTCACAAGCTGATCGACTTCACAACGATATCGGTCACGCTATTCCAGCCGGGCTCATCGTTATACTTATTATGTTAGTTCCTTTCGAATATAATCTACACGCACCTATTCCCTCGTAGACAGCGCCAAAAAGACATTGCATCGTCCCGGCAGTACCCGCTAATGCGGATATATTAGCAAATCCAGTGAGAGACACGTAGAATAAGGGGAATGCCCCTCCGCCGACAACGTCGATTAGCAGCGCGTACCAAGGATCCTACTAGTAGAGGATACATTTGTAGACAAAACAAAGCAGCACGATAATTAAATTTTGGTAACGATTAGCTCTGGTGGACAACGAGTATATCATAGTCATATAATGACTGAAATATCATTTATACATATAATTTTATATTCATTCATCCCAGGTAAATATATAAAAATTATATTAATCTAAAAAGGTTGGTTGTATCTGGGCTAGATGTTAGACTCTGTAGTAACGAGGCTTATACTGGTATTTGTGTTAAGCTTAATAGAACTTGTTTGCGTCGATTCCAAACGCACTGGTCTATAGAACGTGAGGCAGATAAGACATGCGGTGAACTAAACTAGCCTTCTTCAGCACTATGGCCTAGAATGATACGCACCTGTAAAAACGAATATCCAAGCAACTTGACGGCTAAACAGACGAATGTTGCCGTCATGCAGCCGAAGTAACCTAACCACTCCAAAAGGTACCCCGAAATGAAAAACATAGGAATTTCAACCACTAGTGACTGCATACTGAAGGTAAGTCCCGTTAAAGTCTTCGACGCGTTCAATTTTTCAAGCAACCAAACAGAATAGGTCCACACCGCGCCAAGCAGAATACCGCCCATCAGTGACTTCGAAGCCACAAAGGAAAAAGAATCGATTAGAGGATGACCTATTTACTTACATACTACCCTTAGTCGGAGTGACCGTTTCCACCGGAATAAAATAAAAGTAAACGCAGATCTAACAAAGGAAGAGTAAATTCAAAACGAATTTAATTCTGGTAGTATCAAAGAAACTGTTGTCTTCATACTTGTACTTACCCGAAAAGTGAACATTATTACTCGAGCATTTCTATAAATTGTTTTCAAATCTTCGAAAAAGTGCTCGGTTGTTGTCGGAGTGATAAACCGTGGTGTGAATAAGAGCAGCACGTTATTAAGTACAATTAATACAGTGAAACCTATTATAGCTGGAAGAAACTTCCTCATCTGAAAACGAATGAAAAAAGAATCTGGCATTATCCTTAGAGGTTACATAACTATACATTTATTATTATATTTTTTATTATTATTTATTTGTATTATTTTTATTATTATTATATTATTATATATTTATATTATATAAATATAATATAAACAAATTATACATCATATGTCTATTATCCTCATTGCAGAAAGAACCGACTCATCTAAAGATAAATTACCGTTTTAGAGATGTAGCAAGGGCTCAAAAAGTAAACGCCAAATTACAAGAACTTAAATCGCTACTATAGTTTTTTAGGAGTTTCTGTATATACATATATATACATTTTTTTCTTATTTCCCGTATTCTAAAGTACTTTGCTATATCTTTGGGTATTAGTTTCAGTTTAAACCCATTATTCGAATACAAGCCCTAAGGCGCTTATTATATAAGAAGCACTATGATCTACGTTTTGCTCAAATTTTTTAATATATTGTTTTTGTTTTACTAGTTTGGCAATGAACAGCTTTGTTTTTTTTTAAGTCTTTGTCCTACACAACAGTTACATTTAGGATCAGTGGAATTCAGGAATAAAACGAAAGTCATTGCACAATGCTTGAATGCTTCTAATAGACCCTAGTTGGACCAGTTTTCATTCAATTTCGAAAATTTTGCTAACGTTCTATTTTGTAAACCGCTACGCTTCGTTTTGCAAGTCGCATCTTACGTGACCCATAAATGGCATAGTTCATATTGTTATGATAAAAAGACAGATTGAACTTACGTCGGAGTCAGGAACGGCATCGATTAAGTAGCCAACTAGGGGACTGGTAATTCCCCAACTGAGTGTGCCCCACAGTCGCTGTTGCCCAAATAAATAGCCATGGTCAACACCGAGCGTTTCGTAGCACGCCGCGTCGGTCACCGAATATAGAGTTGAGCCCAGAGCAAACGTTATGGTCACAGAAACTGCGTATAATAACAGCCCACTTGTGTATAGATGAGCTGTAAATATGCGTATTAATATTGTAAGACCATTCATAAGAGGCAAAGTATGTTCCTAGTAGCACTGACCAGAGGTTGAGGGTAGACAGATGGATCTACGTGGTGTTTACAGGTAAACTTTTATAGATGACTACCGTATGCTCCCTTGGCCTTCCTTAAATGTTACGACAGACGGTTGAACTTACCAACATTCGAAGAACATTCCACGGAACAACTCATAGAACAGTCTGTGCTTTCATCTTGGATCAACTTGAAAGATCGCTTCGAAACGTCTCCGCAGTTAAGATTGCATTGACTGCCTGGAATCGAAAACAGGTGGTACAGGAATCGACTGGAGCACAAATGTACTCAACAGTACGTACATCGTTATCTATAGATCACATTTATTTTCACAAGTTCATGTAAATACAACACAATATAATATTCATGAGGAAATTTTCTTTTATACACAATAGTGTACTGTTTGATAAAGATAACGAAAAACAGCGAAAGGCACAGCTCTTTTTCAAGTGTCACGCTTGATTATATAGTGAAAATTGTATATTTGAATATACAAATAACTGGTGTGTACTTATGAAATGGCACAAATTATCTTTATAGCTAAATGGTATGCTCTTGATTATGCATTTCTACCCATCCGTACCATTGTGTAGAAAACACCCGTGTTGTCATTTGGTAAAATGTTGGATTAAATGTTTGAAGATGAAAGTCGGCTATGTTGGTATATTATTGAATACATAACACGTGCTTGTAGTGGTAGCAGCGGCACTTCCAAGTGGTCAATGCAACGTTAACAAATTGATTTCTGAGTGCCTTAGTCAGTTAGCAGATAATATTATTACTAATACCAGAAATGTCAAAATTGATTGTATTGCACCTTTTTTAAATGGTATCGATCCTGCTAAGGACAAGGTGGCTGGACAGGTAGAAAAGTTTCGGCTCACGAACTCTTGTTCAGTCGTTGACAGCTGCGGCGTCAGGAACACACCCCAGCAGAATACCAATAGGAGAATCTATATGAGAATAATTTCACAATGTTCCATGAAAAAACATGGTGACATTAGTTGTAATAATTAAGGTGAAACAAAGGTTAAAAACTGACAAAAAATTAGAATCGTAGCTGGCGAATAGCGGCGCATATAGTACGAAGTTAACGGTTGATATCTTAAGCGGATCCACCTTTGATAAACCTTTTTTCCTTGAAAAAGCGGCATTATTATTAGTAAGATAAGGTTAAAAAACACGGCATTACGAACATGACTATTCAGAAACGTATGTTTTTTTACGGTATACATGTTCTAGACGTAGATATGCCCACGACATTACTCTCTTACATCTAGTTTTGTGGGTGAATTTGCTAAGTCTTTTATAAAGATTACATGTCCAACTACTATAAGCTTACCTCGCACGTCATGATCACAGCAGTAATGTTTCGCATTTTGTCCGCAATCATTCCCGCCAAAGGTTTGAATACAGCTGCGGCAAGTGGAGCAATCCCCAATATTATACCAATATCACCTACTGAAATACCAGCCTGATGACCTACCACTGCCAGATAATTTATATAACACGCTTGTGCTGAAAGAAATCACCCAATCATGTGCGAGCATTAGAGCGACTGGGTCATAAAACGTTTGCCAAGAATTGAATATCTATGTGCTAATAGTAGAAATTTACTTCATTGTTTTAGATACTGCAATACAAATTGCTATCTAGAATCTCGCAGCAGTTACATAAGAGCATAATGCTTTTTTCGTGTAGCTTCTGGTGACTTTTGACTTACCACTGTTTAAAATGAAATAATGTGCCTTAATAGACAAGAAGTCTCGGTTGATGGTCATCATTCTCAAGCCACATTAGAGCTTCTGTACCCCAAAGAAGTACTCATGAAGTTGTTATGTGTCGACGAAGCAAAACGGTATCTGGATCTAATTATCATATAGACAGAATCATAGCCTATTTTCTGGTTGAAAAAAATCGCTTGGTTGAATCCATGACCGACACCTGAAAGTATACAGCATTATTCAAATTACAATTCAGTTTGCCTGGCAATGGAACTTACAAAATATATTCTTGGCTGCTCTTAACCCATTCTGCTTACCACAAGCAATACGAATCATTTATTTTTGCCGTATTAGACAAATTTAAAAGGCACAATCGATAAGATTGGGAAACAGCCAAGACATCTATTCTAACGGGATACCTCAATGTAAGCTGTAACCGAATGGTCGTTATCATCCCAGTGGACGAACTCATCTGCGTTAATATCCCTACCTTTAGCTCCTCCTTGTAACGAGATACGATCAGCTTTTAAATAAGAGCTACGACATCACGCATAGCTTTCTTCCGGGGACTGTCTTAGTCTATGGTAAGACAGCGATAGCAGCGAAACAAACACCAAATGTGTTTAAGGGGTTTCAACAACTGGTTCCATCCGACGACAACAAGTTGTTGTCAACGGCTCGAATTTCACCGCAAGGCTGCTTATTGTTATTTAATAAAAGAAAGACCGGACATAAGCTCGCAAGCACATCCTTGCCGCTATGGTTTTTATGACCTTCTTCTTTGCGGTGCTAGGCATTTATTTGCGATTGAAAAAAGCTAAACTGTTACCATTGTATGATTATTCGCAGGAACTCATTGCAGAAACTGGACCAAGAAATAGCCGATAAGCATGTCATAATGCAAAGTACTATATGCTATTTCAGTTTGCTTTCGTGAGCTTGATCATCTACTTTTTTTTACTGTCGGTCCACGAATGTCCGTTACAACTCCGGACGTAGTTGGTCACCGTAGTTTTTTTTAATATTCACGGTCAAACAGGTAGGGCCTCATAGTTCACCTATTTAAAATACACCTCAACACCTGATTAGTTGGTTGTTGAATATTTTTGAAAACAATCTTTCAGATATAAAGATGCTGTGGGTTTGCATCCAATAAAATTGTAGCATTTTACTATATAGCATAATGGATAACACCTGGAGCGCCGCAAACTAACATAAAGAAGATGCATAAAATTCAAAGCTTATCGAGTCGTACTCTTTCTCGTAAATGCTCAGTATATCATTTACTATGAGTATGCATACGATCGAAATCTAGACGTGCTGTGATATCTTGTTACTAAGTCATATTTTGCTACTGTTTCCTCAAGTTCTACTTATAAAAACGTATCTTTGAATCTTACTCCGTAGTGAACATCCCTTATTCGCTGGTAGGGATTAAGTGGTCCTTGTCTCCAAGATCGAACTTTTCCCAAAAATTCCCAAAGGCAATTCAGAGGAGATTGATATGTTGTTGTTTGTCCGTATTGTGACGGAAGGCCCGACAAGGAAGCCTGCGGCTTCAGCTGCTGCTTCTGTTAATGAAAGCGATTCATCTATCCGGTTGATACCGTTCTCCTGCTGATCTGCTTGAAGTTAGACAAAACTTTTCTTCTAACTTAGATGCAGTTTAAACCAGTACAATCCTACGGACACTGCGTCATTTTCCTTTTTCAGTAAATTTTATGACTTCATATCGTATTCGAATCGTATTTTAAAGCAAAGGCTTACATTCATAGAGCGCAAGCATTTGTTAGAATATTCATGAATTTGTACATTTATAATTCGATGACAGTGTAGTGAGTAACATGTTTGGCTGCTGAACTTAGAGACTCGTGGTGATTTAGGTGCAACTCGGGGCGAAGACGCGCTTCATGCTGGGTGCCGGATGTCAAAAGTAGTGGATTTAAGGCACAAAAAATACAGCCAGATGTAATTATGATGGAGTTCTCAGTAAGCTCAGAACGATATAATTTGCGCTACTATGCCAGTAATGATGTCTACTACCAACGGACACTAAAAACTCAAAGGTAGGTTATATATTGATAATTTGTAAAAACACTTATTATAAGTTTGGGAAATTTTACGTATTTCACAAAAGAAGGGAAGGTATTATGATGGTAGCTATTTAGTAGTCTCCAAGCAGAGAAATCATCATGCCACTTTTTTTCTTACCAAAAAGTTGTTAAGGGCAGGAATCACAAGAAGAAATGAAGTTTCTGCGAAAATATTATATACATTAGTCAAAAGCATTCTTAAAAATTGAATCACTCATCAGATTATATGGTTTCTAGTTATCTCTATGCATCTCCTTATAGAGAACATAGTGTTACATAGCTGGCCTGATCGTCGCGCAATTCGATTCATTTCATGTTTGTTGGACAAGATTTTCAAGAAAGCCGTGCTTTTTGTGAGCATTCTATTTCAAAGCCATGAAATGATTAATTGCCAGCAATATCACCTTTCATTACTCTCAACACACCGCTTTAGGCATTCCACAAATTCTGAGCCTACTTACACTTTATACTTGGGTACGCGTATGATTGGATTCTATACCTAATATTATTTTACATGTTGTAATGCGGTCATCCTGATGCCTTTTATTCTCAGTGGCTAAATTGTACCCGTTGATTCGTTTATTTATTTACAGTAGAAATAACAATCACTCATGCCTAGATATTGAGAACTAAATCCCCAACCATTTTGAATAAAAAGACAATATAAGAAAGACAATAAAAAATAAAAGTAAAATGAAGTCTGATAAGACAATAAGCAAAACTACTAAACCTTTCTCCTCCTTTTTGCTGACCAGATGCGCGAATGGAATCCGTTAGAATTCTTTGGATCATAATAACCGAAATCCGTGCATAAAAGGACTCTATGAAACAAGATAGTACAAAGGTAAAAAAGGCTTCCTGTTTAAAGAATAATTGTATTGAAAGTGGAATTTGCCGAACTGATGAATTCAAAGGAGATCATTGCTGCGCGTACCAACGACACAGCATCGCGGAAAAATAGATAAATTTTTTACTTGAAACCCACCCAGGGCGTGGTGGATCAGTGCAAGCAAACGCAACTCCTCTGGCAAATATACTCGTCAAAATCTTCGGGGACTATTATGCTTTCTGTTCAACTATAGACTGTGTACAGCATTAGTTAATATCGCCCACTGCTAATCTTTTGTGTACGTTATTGTGCAGAAAGCGGAGTCCAACCTAAAAAGTCAAGCACGGAATTTTTTCATAGAAACGTTGAAATAGTTGTTACTGTCGGCATTTATATTGCTGCTTGGCATATAGGCAGTAAATAAACAACCCATCACTCCAGTTAGACCATGTCATTCAGTAACAAATTTTTTTTGAAATACGAAGGATACCGAAAAAATAAATTAGTTAGACGGCCTGTGTACGTGTTGTATTGCCTACTATTCTAATACAGGGCATTCTTTTTCGCAACAGTACAAGTAAGCACGTTTCCATGGTCATTCATCAAATACGAGCGGCTTTTAAAGGATCAAGATACGACTTAAATTTAAAATGCCCTTTGCCATCACATCACATCCGAGTTTCACATTTACACACCGCTGTCTCGAATGACTACAATAATCAACTAAAATGATTATGTAAAAAAAAGTCAATAACTAAAGTGCTTATAAAATACAAGCTCGACTTCACATACTGCAACCAATTTATGCGCGCCACTGGTTCACTCCTTACATTTCTTATAGAGACTGGGCTTCCTCAGAGGCAGCTATATCCAATGTCAAACGGATAATGGCAGCACCATATGGATCCAGCATTGCTTAATGCTATCGTTGAAAATAAACGATGTCGCGAAGCAGAAAAAAATTATACGAGTACATTTGTCTAAATTATTACTCATCTATTATGTAGTCGAAATAGGTTCGCCACAATTCAACGCAGTGGAAGCGCCTGCGACTGTTCATGCTTACGGCCTAATCGTAAATTATTTCATATAATTGCATGCAAGTAAAGCAATAAACAACAAAACCACACGAAGTGGAACCAAATTGTTCATACTTGGAGGGAATGATAAAGAAAAATAAATGAAACATGTTCTATATTTTTCAAAACTGCAGCAGTTAACTGAGCACTGAAAAGGTGGGCAGCAGTTTTTGTCGTATGTAGGATTGTCGTGCGTGAACTTTGCCCCTGCTTTACGTTGAGACAGTAACCTAGATATTTGAAGTTCAAAGATATCGATCAGTGTGTCCAGAAACTGTAATTATTGTTGCCAATACTTAATTAAACTTAAAATTTGAACATTAAGACGTGAGCCAAAAAAATAATTTGAAAAAAGCTACGTCGTCGGCCACAGGATGAACTTAAAATGGCCACAGGGGGAGCCGTACGGGCTAGGAATAATTTCGTGTGAGAAAGTTAGCCATTTAATAAAACTCAAGGTGAATATTTTTAATTATAGAACAGGTTGTAGTTACGGGTAGAGAAAACGGTGCTCCATAACAATTCACTGTCAAGTTAAACAGATCCAAAACAATGAATCATCAAGCATACGAACAGGTGAAATTCTGCTACCCAGTGAGAAGTCGGCTCGGTTTTGAATGATCCGGGTACTGGGACATCCAGGAGTCCCTTTTGCCCGAGAAGAGCGGAGGTGCAACAACAAGGGCGACGTGCAAACTGTTCTCGAAAGCCAACTTCATCGGACTGAAGCCTGTGAAGCGATCGTGTTATCCATAGTTTCAGCGTGAATAGTTATGCATGCTATATTCGAATTTTTTTGTTATGATTAGCTGCGATGTGATGCATATGTTGTCGATACTGCTTTGTTCGAATTACGCTACGCCAATAAAGCGGTGCAAATATCTTTCGAGAACGGTTACATGAAACACGTGTTAACAGGAATGATATATGTCACAACAAATACGAAATTGCTTTGGCTTAACTTGACATATATACACATGTGCGCATTTGTACTAAATCGAGTTGCACTCTGAGGCCACTTAATTTTTTCAATTTCCCTATAAAATTACCATCGACGCCATTCGGTTTCATAAATGCGCAAAATGCAGTGGCCCTAGGTCCACCTCACCTTGGATCACCTAATTCTCAGAATAATCATGCAATATAACTAAAAGTAATTATTTTTGACGATGTAACTATTAGTTTGCATTTTCAAAATGTAGCTTTAGTACAGCCGAAATTCTGGCCCACAAACAAAACAGTTATTTTTTGTTTGTTTATTCTTCAACAAATGTTCGATAAAAAAAGACACCTATCTGTTTCGTGCTGCCCCATTTCTTAAAATTTGATAAAAATCAGTAATGCAAATCACATCTAATTTCAGACCCGTGTGTATCTCAAAAATTCTGAAGTGTGGCAATGCTAAGATTTAAAGTCAGTTCTTTTTTCATGTATGTCAACACACTGGCACCGGCAAAAATGTAATTTAATATAAATATATTATAGTTAAGCGTTCGTAAGACTTACATTCGCAAAGTAGGCTTCAATTATTCCTATTTGTAAAATATTATCAACCACATCCTTCCGTTTTTCGAAACTTGTGTATATCTCTCCGCCTGTCCTGCCTGAGGTGTGAACTAAGGATTTTTTGCTCACATGCATGGAAGTGACATTCAGCGAACTTTAATCATGTGTATCAACCGCACATTGACATGTATATGTGCATGAGATAGATCTTAGTTGATTTTTACTTTTGCATTTATAAAACATTGTCATATATTAGAGTGTAATGTAATAGTTTTGCTATAAACCGAAACATTCAGCTTACAAGTAATTATTTGGTAAAAGGCCAATCGGCTTAAACAGATAACCAGAATATATCCAACTGGCTTAATAGTTAGGCTTTCAAATGATTTTAAAACAACTTGCTATTTTTTCAGAGCGGATGACCACACTGTAAAAGGCTAAAACAGTTTAGTCACAGTACGACAAAACAAAATTGCAACCAACGGATCGATGGCGAACGAATCGAACGGAGGCTTTAGATTCTAAAAGGAATATAATTAAAAATAATCAACTTACTACACTAAAGCCGACATAATTAGTTCAGTAGAAGCCATTCATCGTTATCGGCTTTATTACCTTTGGATGGCCTTGGAACACGATAATACAGGGTAATTTGATAATGCTATATTATTCATCGTTCAAACGAAACTGCAAATTTCCCTCTCTGTTTTTGCGTGCGTAAATAAAAATTCCCTAAAAAACAAAAAAAAAAACCTTCACCCATCGTAACATGAAAGAAGGTGAGCGGAATTGCGAAACTGCTCCAATCAAGTGGAATAACCACACTATGTCATACATAATATTTCACGTTTGTTCTTTGAATTCTGTGACGCCGTTGTCATTCTGTATTTTACATTTCAAAAATACTCTAATTTTAACAATAATACAGAAAAGCTATCATCCAAATGAAGCTTTTGCGACTTCAAATAGACTTTGCCTGAAACAGGAGAAGATCGACTTTTTACTTCTAATTTCTCAAAGACATGAGTCGTTTGAATAAGAATAAGCATCGATTCACAGGAAAA